GACACTCAGACCTCAGCCGAGGGTTGCGACTGGACGTTTTCTTGTAGAGCACACAGACGAGGATTAAGACCAGGCATCGTCCTAGGGATGATGTGTCGGTGATCTGTAAGCTCAGAACACAGCGAAACTCCAAATCCCTACACACTGGTCAGGATGCTTCTGATTGGGACAGGGAAACCTTTTTGGCATGACAACGATCAATGGCTCTTGAAACATCTGTCTTACTGAGTGGCTAAAGTGACGTAAACCACACTCAAGATGTCTTAACAGCTTGGCACACAGAGCGCGCCAGCCCATCCCAGCACCTCCGTCCCCTGCCCCCAGCCCTGTGCCCCATGCCGACTGCGAGAATTTCCCACTGGATAGAAGCCCTGCCGTTGAGGTTTCTCACCCAGGGCGTGTTGTTATCCTATAGGCTTAGTGACGTAGATGGGGCTCCTGCGGAATCCCAGCAGCGGAGGCCCCAGAGCCACAGAGGTCAGCTCAGGACATCGGAGGAGCCGACAGCCCGGAGGAGACTCGCTTTTCTGCCCGTGGGGAGTTTTGTAGGGTTCTCTAGCACATTCAGCACGCCTGCCGGCCAGCCGCGTATCCCATACTGCCTGTGGCCGTGAGAGCGACCGCGTGCTGTGTTCCCCGGATCCCCAGCTCCAGATGGAGTGTGTTCCAGGGACCACACAGAGCTTTGTTTAAATGCTCACATTAGCAGAAGGACGGGGATCCCATTGAATCATCATCTCCTGTCAAAAAGCCAAGAACTGCTCAGAATGAAAACAGAGTTCTTCCCCAAGAGGCTAAATCCCCGGCACTAATTGGTCGCTGTGTGTATGTGTGGGCGCAGGGGGTGCTCACCCCGTGCCTGCGCTATTCTAAATAGGGGCACCCTGTCTGCTCACAGTCTGAGCCAGGGTGAGTGACCTTGCCCTTCAGGACCCCTCACTGGGCTCACGTGTGTGTGGCACCCCCAGGAAGAGCAGAGCCCTTCTCCTGCTTGTGGGGCCCAGACATTTACAATGAACAAGTTCAAGGGTGGTGCCGACTGGGTCTTTGGTGCACACACAATGTGGCATTTATGTATGGGTACTGGCTGTCCTCATGGGACTCAAAAACGGGGCTAAGTGTGATCTTTCGTCATGAGCCACTGGGAGCTACCCATAGGCGGCATCAACTGGAAACAGCTCAAACATCTTGCTATTTTCTCTTCCCCAATTTTCGCCTATTCATACCCAAGAATAAAAGAGTCAGTCTATCAGCCTTCCTAAAAGAATATCATCTGTCTGCTTACTAAGTACCCACAAATAACAATCATTTATGCCCACCTTGCCCGGACGAAAGCATTCCTTCCTTCCTTCATCCATTCATCTATTCAGCATTTATTGAACACCGACTGTGTGCCAGGCACAGCGCTAGGCACCAACTGAATGCCAGTACATGAAAAGCACAAAAGCCCCACGTTGCCACACGAGTCTCAGAGGCGACTTCCCTAAGTCCCTGAAGGAGTGATTTTGATGTGCGCATCTTCCTGACTTCTGGTCCCGTGCTCTGACCACAACGCCTCACCACCAGACCACACTTCCCCAAATAAATAACTACTTCTGCATGCTAGGGACAGGCCGTGTGCGGCAGCATTTACGTAGGCGGCACACACGGCAACCTTTCACTGAATGTGGCAATCACACCCGGCTAGACAACGTGCACTGACTTCAGAAGTTCTCCAACAGTCTGAAGTGGCTCAAGTCTCCTCATTCAGGTTCTAGAGAGGGGTGCACACCAGGAGAAGGTTGTATGTGATTGGAGGAGGGGACTGCTGAGGACCAAATGGGTTTGTTTCCAGTCCGGGTTAAAATCAAACGTGGAATCCATGCTCGCCACATGTGACTCCCCAGGGAGGAGGAACTCAGCACACAGCTCATCACACTGCAAGTTTGCTGTTATGTGCTCAGACATGTCCAGGACACGGGATCCCTGCCCTGCTGGAAAGGTGTACTGGGCTCACAGGGGGGTGCGCACCTGTCTTCCAGTCACCCTGACCCTGACCTCTGCAAACGGCCAAGGCGATTTCACACGTTGGTTCTGCTTTGCTTTTCTTGCATGAGCTCCACTTTTAAAAATGTGATGTTGCGGTCCTAAAACGGATGCGGGAATCTGTTTGCACACGCTCAGGTTCAGATGCTGGGCGGGCAGGAGAGGAGCCCTGGGATTGTATCATCCTACACAAAGGCCTGGGGTTGAGCACTTGCTTCTTCAGATGCTGTTTGCAAGGGTCATCATTTCAATACCCAGAGGCCAGAGGACCCGGGCCCCAACCCTGCAGTGCAGCCCCTTCCTCTGAACGTCTTCTGGGGTATCCTGCTCTTATCTCCGTCCAGTCACTGCGTGCTGTGGTGGAACCCTCTGTTGACTTGTCACTCTCCCCCATGCACTGACTGAGATGGGACCAGGTGCACCCTGCTCATCACAGTAAGCACCAGCCTCTAGCCCAGGTGTGGGGCCACAGAGGGTTCTCAGCAGGTCTCGGCTCAATGAATAAAAGACAGAATGAATGCATGACCTGGTCTTCTGAAAGTATGGATTTTGTAAGTCTCCAGCTCCGGGAAGGGGTTAAGCAATCTGGAGTAGGGAGGATCTTCTACAGAAAAGATCTCTTTCCTCCTTTATTGGCAAAGCAGGGATGTGATCTATGGGATAAATCCTGGGTATAAAATCTTGACACATCTTTTAGGTGTTGGCCTGAGCTGCTTCAGACTCGAAGGGGAAGTAAATCAAACAACTGGAGGTTTGCTTTTAAGTGACTCTCAGATCCAGTGGAGAATGGCCCGGGAATTCAAAGCTTGACCTACTTTGTCCGAAAGCTAATAATAAAAGGAGAGATGGATTTGCCGTCATAATTTCTCTCTCTCTCTCTCTCTCTCTCTCTCTCTCTCTCTCTCTCTCTGCCTGTCTCAATCAAGGGCAGTGAAACGGCCTTAAAGATGATGGGATCAAAACTGGAGGCCGCAGACCGGCTCCGGGACGCACAGCAGCTCCAAGAAGTCTGTGTTTGTGTCTTGCGTGTTTTGCCTTTTCCTCCCCCTTCCCCTTTTGAGTGAGGATGGGAAGAAAAAAAGGCGCCCAAATTCCCACCAACACACACCAATGACATACAACGATGAAATTCTGTTTTCACCTCTGCCTGTGACAGCGAAGGCAAAAATAGCAAGTGGCCCAGTTCCACGAGTCCCCGCCTCCCCGCCCTCCCCGCTCGCGCCGGGCTCGGATCTCGAAGAACCGAGGGCAACGCACGGCCCCGCGCGAGCCGCGCTCCGCCCGGGACGGCGGATGATGTCAGGCGGCGGCGGGCCGCGGCCGCAGCCTGCCCGGGGAGGCCGCGGCCCCTGGGGAGCGCGGAGGGCGGGCGGCCGCGCGGCGTCGCCTGGAGACGGCCCCGGCGGCGCACTGTTGCTGTAAACAGCCGCTTCCCTGTTACTATCTATAGCCGGATCGCCCGGCTCCCGGGCGCGGCGGCGGGAGGCAGGTCCGTGGTTCCGCTCCCCGCACGCCACCCACGACCCGCCCGCTGTCCTGACCCTGCCTCGCCCCTCCCCGGGAGCGGGTCCTCGGCTGGCCGCGACCCCTAGGCCCCCAGAGTGGGTCAGAGGACTCAGGGGTCCTGCAGAGGGACCTGCGCCGTTGCACTCCAGGGGTGTCCGGCGCGCCGGGGCCCAGCTGGGACAGTGTGACCCCGGCGGTCCTTTGCAGCCCAGCGGGAGGCTGGGGGCGTTGGGGGGGCGTGGCGCGTTCTGCAGCACCTGCTCGGCCCCCAAGACCTCCAGGTTTCCAGGGCCCGGGCCTCGAGGCCTCCCGCCTGGATACTGCTGGGCACCATTCTTCCATTCCCCTTGCTGCCCGCCTCCCATCCGAGCTGGAAAATCACCCGCTGCGGGCTCCTTGGGAGCCCAGTTTCCTGGCGGAACCGACCCGGCCCCCACCGCACCCCCAGCTCTGACTTGCGTTCCCTGGCGGCTCAGTCCACCTTGGGGCCCCGCACAGGCCACCCACCCCCAGGACGCCGCTCGGAACGCGGCTGACGACCCCTTGGCATCCTGGCGCGGGGGTCTGTATGACGTATATGGACGGGCGTCCCAGGGATTGGACAGTAACACTAACACCCCCACGTTCGGCCCAGAAGAAAAAAACAAGTGCGCTGCCTTCCTCCAAACACGAAAACGAATCAGTAAAAATCAAAGTACCCCCGCCTCGCAAATCAAGCCGGGCTACCGTATTTCATTTTAGACCCATCACGTTCTGCTTCCAAACGTAGTAATGATCCTGGGACCCTGGGGGCTCGGGGGCTCAGGGGCTCGGGTCTGGGGCCACATTTTGCACCCAGCTAGGGCGAGGGTCGGGAATGGGGGCTGCGTGCGTTCCTCTGCGAGCCGCGCTTGCGCCCTCGGGGCCGTGTACCTGTTCCTCCAGTACTTGAGCCTCAGAACCAACCCTAGTCCCTGCACCGGGGTGAGAGGCCGGCCTCCGTCCCATCCCCCACGACCCCAGGAACAAGGGTCCGCAGCGTGCCCAGTGGGAATGTTCGCTCGCCTTCTCCGCCTCTCCCGCCTCCCCTCCCCCGCCCCGGCGCGGCCCCCGCTTCCCCCCCGCGCTGCACCCTCAATGTTGGCTGCAGCCCGCGAGCAGTTCCCGTCAATCCCTCCCCCCTCTACACAGGATGTCCATATTAGGACATCTGCGTCAGCAGGTTTCCACGGCCGTCCCGTGTCGCCGTGGGGGGAGCCACCCCCGAAGACCCTCTTCTCGGGGGTCTGAGACCCCTCCGGGACCCTCATCTCGCCACGCCCGCAGAGTAAGGACTCACAGGCATACCGGGGCGGGGGCTGCGCGCGGCTGGGGGTGGCCGGGTCGCAGCGGCGCCACCCCAGCCGGCGCGCCACCCCTCCAGCGCCACATGGTTGCGCCCGGTGACGCCGTTGGGCTCATTCACAAAATGCTGTTATAAAAGCGGTGGCTGCGGCGCCTCGTACTCCAAGCGCCTCTGCAGCGAGCAGCCAAGAACCTGAGACAGAGCCGGCGGCCGCGGCATAGCGAGCGAGCAGTGACCGCGCTCCGACCCAGCTCTGCCCCAGCCAGCGCTCCGCCGGCCTCGGTGCCCAGGCCCCTCGCCCAGCTTGCCCTCCCTGCGACCATGATGTTCTCGGGCTTCAACGCCGACTACGAGGCAGCGTCTTCCCGCTGCAGCAGCGCCTCGCCAGCCGGGGACAGCCTCTCCTACTACCACTCCCCAGCCGACTCCTTCTCCAGCATGGGCTCCCCGGTCAATGCGCAGGTGAGGGCGCACTGGCGCCTCCGTGGGGCCCGGGACCCGGGGGGTCGCCAGGGTGGGAGGCTGCCGCGGCCGGAGCAGCCCCAGTCTGGGAGCGCGGGGCTTGTTGTGAGCGCACGCTCGCCAGTCGTCATAGTAAGCCATGCCTGCCCCTCTGCCCGGCGGGTCCGCGCCGGGCAGCCCCCTGCCCGCCCTCTGCGACCGGGGCGGACGTGAGCCCAGGGAGAGACTCGCCAGGTGGAGGTCCGGCTCCTTTGGGGCAGGCGGCAGAGGGCGGCCCGGAGCCGGGAGGAGGGGCGCGGGAGGAGGGTGCGTAAGGCAGTTTCATTGATAAAAAGCGAGTTCATTCTGGAGACTCCGGAGCGGCGCCTGCGTCAGCGCGGACGTCAGGGATATTTATAACAAACCCCCTTTCCAGCGAGTGATGCTGCTGGAGAAATAACGGGAACACGGCCGCGGGCTGGAGACAGGAGGCGCCGCGTTGCGGAGACCTTGCGGGCAGAGGGCAGAGCTTCCAGCCGGGATGGGAACTAACAGACCCCGCAGGCGCCGTTCCCCGGCTGCTGCATGCGGCAGGCGCTGGGAACCCGGCGCGCCCCACCTGTGAACGCAACCCGCGCGCTCACGGCGGCTTCTCCTTCTGTTTTCTTCCAGGACTTCTGTTCGGATCTGGCCGTCTCCACTGCCAACTTCATCCCCACCGTGACTGCCATCTCGACCAGCCCGGACCTGCAGTGGCTGGTGCAGCCCACCCTGGTCTCTTCCGTGGCTCCGTCGCAGACCAGAGCCCCCCACCCTTACGGAGTCCCCGCCCCCTCGGCTGGGGCTTACCCCCGGGCTGGAAACGTGAAGACCCTGACCGGAGGCAGAGCTCAGAGCATCGGCCGAAGGGGCAAGGTGGAGCAGGTGAGGGGCGCCTCTGCACCTTGGGGGGTGGGGGAGGCGGGTCACGGGGACAGCAGCGGAGATTGGGGGAACCCAGCAGCGAGGATGAAGCCAGAGTGGGAATTGTCTGTGCATCCCATCCCGAGCCAGGAAGCCTGGCTCCAGGCCAGACTCCGATAGTCCCGCCCCCAAGAAGTCCGTCTGTAGTTTTCTTCCCTGATAGTTTCCTGTCGCTGGCGCCCTCAGCCTGGGCTCATCTTTGTTCTTGGGCTGAGGATCTGATTTTAAATGCAAGTCACACCCCGCCTGCGACTGCAGGTTAGAAATACTCGTCAGAGGAGGTGCCAGGGAGCTGGGAGGCGGCAGGAGCCAGCTTCCCCGAAGTGGTGGCTGTCACTGTTACTGAAGCGCTCTCTGCTTGGTGTCGTTGTAGTTGTCACCCGAGGAAGAGGAGAAGAGGCGAATCCGAAGGGAAAGGAATAAGATGGCTGCAGCCAAGTGCCGAAACCGGAGGCGGGAGCTCACCGATACCCTGCAGGCGGTAAGTAGACCCCAGGGGTCACACCTTTCGAAGTTCGAGGCTGGGCCCTGGAGTGTGACCGAGTCTCATGCTGTCTCCATCCTTCCCCAACACAGGAGACAGATCAGCTAGAAGACGAGAAGTCTGCGCTGCAGACGGAGATCGCCAACCTGCTCAAGGAGAAGGAGAAGCTGGAGTTCATCCTGGCAGCCCACCGGCCCGCCTGCAAGATCCCCGATGACCTGGGCTTCCCCGAGGAGATGTCCGTGGGATCCCTGGATCTGAGCGGGGGCCTGCCCGAGGCTGCCACCCCGGAGTCCGAGGAGCCTTTCAGTCTGCCCCTCCTCAACGACCCGGAGCCTAAGCCCGCAGTGGAGCCCGGCAAGAACCTGAGCGGCATGGAGCTGAAGGCCGAGCCCTTCGATGACTTCCTGTTCCCAGCGTCATCCAGGCCCAGCGGCTCGGAGACGGCACGCTCTGTGCCGGACGTGGACCTGTCCGGTTCCTTCTATGCCGCAGACTGGGAGCCCCTGCACAGTGGCGCCCTGGGGATGGGGCCGATGGCTGCGGAGCTGGAGCCCCTGTGCACCCCGGTGGTCACCTGTACCCCAAGCTGCACCACTTACACGTCTTCCTTCGTCTTCACCTACCCCGAGGCTGACTCCTTCCCCAGCTGCGCCGCGGCCCACCGCAAGGGCAGCAGCAGCAACGAGCCCTCCTCTGACTCGCTCAGCTCCCCGACACTGCTCGCCCTGTGAGCCGGCCGGGCTGGGGAGGCAGCCGGCGCGGCGCCCTGCCTCTGTCCGGAGTTGGTGCATTACAGAAAGAACCACGTCTTCCCTCGAGGGTTCCGGTAGACTAGGGAGGACGCGATCTGTGCGTGAAACACACCAGGCTGTGGGCCGCAAGGACTGGAACGCACCCGCGTGTGGACCCGAGTCCTTACCTCTTCCGGAGATGTAGCAAAACGCATGGAGTGTGTGTTGTTCCCAGTGGCACTTCTGAGAGCTGGTAGTTAGTAGCATGTTGAGCCAGGCCTGGGTCTGTGTCTCTTTTCTCTTTCTCCTTAGTCTTCTCATCGCATTAACTAATCTATTGGGTTCATTATTGGAATTAACCTGGTGCTGGATATTTTCAAATTGTATCTAGTGCAGCTGATTTTAACAATAACTACTGTGTTCCTGGCAATAGTGTGTTCTGATTAGAAATGACCAATATTCAACTAAGAAAAGATAATGACTTTATTTTCTAGTAGATAGAAATAAATAGCTATATCCATGTACTGTAGTTTTTCTTCGACATCGATGTTCATTGTAACGTTACTGATCATGCATTGTTGAGGTGGTCTGAATGTTTTGACATTAACAGTTTTCCATGAAAACGTTTTATTGTGTTTTTAATTTATTTATTAAGATGGATTCTCAGATATTTATATTTTTATTTTATTTTTTTCTACCTTGAGGTCTTTTGACATGTGGAAAGTGAATCTGAATGAAAAATTTAAGCATTGTTTGCTTATTGTTCCAAGACACTGTCAATAAAAGCATTTAAGTTGAATGCGACCACTTCTGCTCCTTCCTTGGGGCCCTTTCCTGCGATTCTGAAAGGCATGCCTGGGGGACCAGCTGGTCCAGAGGGTAGCACCTGGAGGGGCACACGCCCCTCTGGCTGATCCCGTATCAGAGAGAAGGAAGCTCCAGAGCCAATTTGGAATATTTTGCAAATGCATCTTCGTGTTGGGCTGGGAAGCCTCTCCACCTGCTGATTCTGAGGGTGGGAACCTGCTGGGTGAGGCTGCTGTCTCCCTGCTTCTGGGCATGTCTGGGCGCCCAAGATGAAGCTTGGCATAGCTACTGTCATGTCTTATTTCCACAAAATCACGTGAAGTTACTCTCACCTAAAAGGCAAGGCACACTGAAGAAGAGTCCAGAAAGAATGAGTTTCTCAATATTCCACCGTTGGGATGAGAATCTGAGCTGACCTCCATGCTAGCCATCGGCTGAACCGCCTGTTACTATTTGGTTCAAAAGAAGTTTGCACTCGGTTGAGGACGCCTCCCCAGTCCTTAACTCTGACCTATACACATTGAGTTGGACTATTTTATTCCCCAAAGGAAGAGAGGGCTCTGTCCCTTAGTCCTTAGTGACAGATGTACAATAGACCCTGAAGTTTCTTTAGCACCATGTGCCTGTCATTCAGTTTAAACTGGGGGAAGAAAACACTGACTCTGAGAATTCAAAAGGGATCTCAAACAGCGCACATAATGCTTGATGGCTGGGAAAATAAAGTTACATAATAGCTCAATAAGGAGAAGTCAACAGGACTCTGAATGAGCTTTGACTTTGCAACTTTATCATCATAAAGAAGAACATGACCTTTGTCTGGGACAGCTCTGCTGATGGGGCACTTACATGCACACACGTACAAACCACAGAGAAAGAAGACTGTGCCCTTCAACCTTGGTTCCCGCGGCTTCCGCACAAGCTGGGTGGAGGTGGAAGGGAGCTCCAAGGCCAGGTTTTCAATGCGTTGGTGATAATGAAAATCACTGGGTGGTTACGGGGTGTCAGCCTCAGTCAAGGTCAAAGTTTTAATTGAAAGTGAGAGTTCCATGAAGCTTGATCTCATCTGTGATCTTGGGGCTCCTTCCATGCTCACTGACATGTGAAAGCAACTACCAGCTCGTGAGAATGGACCTCTGTCACGCACCACTCAGAGAGTTCTTGCCCGTCTTGCAATAGCAGTAGGAGCCTTGGGCTCCTCGTTTGCTGCTCAAAGGGCAAATATTCTATGCCCTTTACATACAATCTAAACTAAATACAGAATTTAACATGGCTAGCAGGGTGATATGTAGCATGCCAGGCACCTGGCTGGCTCTCTCTCCCTCTCTCTTTCTATTTATTATTTGAAAATCAGAGTTACAGAGAGAGAGATTTTTTATCAACTGGTTTGCTCCCCCGATGACCGCAATGGCTAGGGCTGGGCCAGGCCAAAGTCAGGAATGAGGAGCTTCATCTGACACTCCCATGTGGGTGCAGGGGCCCAAGCATTTGCACCATCTTCTGTTGCTTTCCCAGGCCCGTTAGCAGGGAGCTGGATTGGAAGTGGATCAGCTGGAACTCGAACCAGCATCCACATGGGATGGTGAGGCTGCAGGTGGCAGCTTAACCCACTACACCACAGCACAGACCCTCTGGCTGGCGCTCTTGAGAGGAATATGATCTGAGAAAAGAGATGTCCCACATGGAGAGGGCAGCTGGACCTCCAGCCCTAGACATGAGCCTGCTCCTGGGGACCTCACAAATGACCCCTGGCAGTCCCTTGCTGGCCACAGAGGGACAGCGTTGCTTTCCCTTTGAAAGCCCTGGCTGAAGCTTCCTCTAGCTCTCCACATCTCAGCGGAGACTGGCTGCTCCATCAAGACTGCATAAGTGTCCAGGGAGAGGGGATCTCCTGACAGGCTTCCCTGAGGGTCCCCCCAGGGCTGCTAGCCCACCTCACCCCCTGCCGACCACTTTCATGGGACTGAGAAGAAAGGAATCCCTCTGCTCCCCAGCCGAAGGACTCCTTTCATATCCTCCCTTCCTGACTCAGGATCCAACGATCCCTGTGGATGTCAACTTTCTTTTGGGAAAGACTTTGACCCCTACCCACAAGCTGTGTCTCTGGGAACAAGTTTTAGTGAGTCACTATGGCAGGACAACACCGTTCAACATCGAGGCAAGACAAGCAGATTTAACAGAATGCCGTGGGGCAGAGGTCATTGCCTTACTGGGACCATGTCTGGTTTGGCTCATCAGTGAATCCTCAGATTCAGCTCAGGGCCTGGCACTGTGTCCAGGGCTGTTGACGATTACGCTCCGCAGGTGAATGGATGGATTCCACAAGCAGCAATGCAAGTCTATCCTACACATGTTCTCTAACTCTTTCCCTTCTGGGTCCCGTCAGGACGGTAAGCAAGGCATGGCTCATGTTTTATGTCTGGCTGTAACACACACCCCGCTTCTACCCTGGGCTCCTGGAATTCCTCCACTGAGCCCCCTGGGTTAACTTTGCCAATTCTACCTCAAAGTGAACACCTTGCCACCGCGCTGCAGGCTCCAAATCAATGACAGGTGGAAAAGAGGTGGCAGGAGAAAACATGTGGCTGTACATTCTGCTTCGTCTTTGCACACCACTGTGTTTTGTGTAATTATCAAAATTAAAGGGGAGCCTTTACTAATTTATTCTGATGACAGTCATTGCGTGGCAACAGCAGTTCGCACATGTCAGAGAAAGTGAATCCATGATGCCATCTTTAATTAATGTACAAAGAAGAAACTGAGGCACAGATGATTGCTCTAAGGAACTCGTCTGAACTTTCCATGTTTTTCAAGTTAAAAGAACTAAAACAAAAATAATTTTTAAACTTATCTTTTAATTGCATTTTTTTAAGTTTTATTTATTTATTTGAAATTCAGAGTTACACAGAGAGAGAAGGAGAGGCAGAGAGAGAGAGAGAGAGAGAGAGAGAGAGGTCTTTCATCTGCTGGTTCACTTCCCAGTTGGCCACAATGGCTGGAACTGTGCCGATCAGGAGCCAGGAGCTTCTTTTGGGTCTCCCATGTGGGTGCAGGAGCCCAAGGAGTAGGGCCTTCTTCTACTGTTTTCCCAGACCATAGTAGAGAGCCGGATCAGAAGTGGAGCAGCCGGGTCTCGAACAGGCGCCCATATGGGATGCCAGCACGGCAGGCGGCAGCTTTTACCTGCTATGCCACAGCGCCGGCCCCAACAATTTTTAAAACTTCATTGGAGACTTCCTCCAAACACTGAATAATCAAATTCCTCAAAATAAATAAATAAATAAATAAATAAAGGAGGTATGAGAACCACTTGAATGCTGAATTGCTACAGAATGCTTTCAATGATGCTGCTTTGCTATGATTTTCAGAAAGGTCATGGAAATGCACATCATGAAAAAACTGCATGGATTTCAAAGATACTTTGCACCAAAATAAGCTTAGCTTCTCATTTCATTTTTCCACGAACCTGTGGAAGTACTCTTGTATTACACGGATGAACTGACCCGCGATTCTTCTCCAGTTCTGTCTCATTCCCCCCTAGGAGCACTTAGCTCACAGCACTTCTTTCCATTCCTGAACCTGCTCCTGCAGCAGGACCTTTGCACATGCTGTCCCTCTGCGCCACTTTTTCCAGGTTGACTCCTTCCTCTCATTCAGGGCTCAACTCAGAGGAGACTTCCTCCAGGAGGCCTTCCCTGGTCAGCCTGACCGGCGCCTCTGCACACGCTCCCTCCTGGTGATTACCTGGGGACCTTGCCTCGCTTCTGCGGCATGCATCAGTCTCTGCGACATCTAACCTGTGTCCTTTTCCTTCTGAAAGCTGTCCTACCCCTCACCGCTGGCCTGTAAGTTCCCCACTACTGCATGCTCAGAGTCTGTGACACAGCAGACGCTTACGGCGTGGATGAAGATGGATGGATGAAGACGGGAATGTCTACAGGAACAGGGTGGAACTTAGAGTGAAGATGACCATGCACTTCGTAGATTTTTTTCCACGGTGGAGGAGCATGCCCCTTTGCTTTAAACAATCCCTCTCAAGTGTTTTTTAGATATTAAGGGGAGAAACCAGCTAGTTTGGGAAGGAATTTTAATGGGGGTACAAATGAAACAAGTAAACTACAGGTCAGTGACACTTCTAGTCTAATTACGGACTGAGAAATTGTCTCAACATCAACGTAGAATGCATGCACATATAAATCCAGATGCAATCACTTTCAAAGAAAACATGTCTTTCACTCTTAGTGACATAAAAATATCAGAGTATCCACTTGAGTTCGTTGGTTTCTAGCAATCAGTGTGCTAAATGATAAAACCTATAATTTAGTCTGCAGTAGAATAGAAGAATAATGGTTGACTGCTGTCACTATCACTATGAACTTCAGTGTCGTGAGCACAGTCTTCATTTGTCAGGAGGATGCCCAAACCCGAGGGGAAGCAGGTGGGACTCCTGACGAATGAGCTGTAGGTCTCTGAAGGTGGGGCTCTAGGACAGATTTCCATTTCCTTGCACACAAGAGAAATCAGCAGAACATAAGCAGGTTCCATGGCAACATCATGCATTTCAATGGTTCCCCACACCCAGTTATGGACTAAACTAAGCCGCCTTTCCTTCGCCCGAGAAGCACTGCCCAGTTGCTCAAGAGGCCACAGAACAGAGTGGACTCTGGCTGTCGTCCCGAGGAGCCTGCCTGGCCTGGCGGCCGTCAGCTCTTCCAAGCTGAGAAGCCTCTTTGCTTCCAGCGCATGGTGCTTGGGTTTGCTTCAGTCAGGTGGCCAGGAAGTCTGACAACCCGTGTTGTCATCTGCCTAGAGGTCGACCCCTATGAAGGGGCCCACCTTCATCCGGGTTCCCGCGCTTGCTTGGGGAACAGTTAGCAGTCAGATCCCAGGAAACGATAATCTACTTTCAGGCGTTTAGTTCATTGAGTGACTATCGCCATAGTTCAACTCATCCAAACAAGATGATTCCATTAATAGGGATTTGAGTGGGAGCCG